ACCTCCACGAGGAAGTGGTAAGAACTCCGTCACGAAGAAATGCAGTTGAGAAATGGGAGCCTAGGTGGGACATCTCTAGAAAAGATCACCGGGGAAGGGAGCAGCAGAGGCTCCTTCAGCTGCGGAGGAGCCCGGCGGATGAGCTTCCAGGGGACCCTCACACCACTGCCACCGCCTTCCCTCTGCAACACTTGCGCTTCCCCAAAGACAATGGGAGGAAATTAGCTCAGCCTGGAGCAGAGGGCAGGAGCGACCCAGAGCCATGCTCCTGTGTCAAAGTAAAAGCTGGTTGTGAGAGCGCTTTGCCTCCTAAGGGTTTCCAGGCTGTTGGCTCCTCCGTCCCTGCTCCCAGGCCAAAAGTTTCCTTGTGGAGGATGACTTTTCAAGAGCCCATCGCCATGCACCTGACGTCAGTATCCACAGGCACATTACTAAGCATCCTCTGCAGAAGGAATATATAGAAACTTCACCTTCTGAGTAACATTTAAACAACGCCATTTTCCAAGCTGGTCTGCAGGCTGCCAAGCATCTGAAATCACAAATGTGCCACTGAAACCCAGCCAAGCCATCCCCTCACTGCGCTCCCACCACTTCGTGAAGTCACCCAGGCACCAGTGGCGGCCGAATGGGGACCACGGGAAGGGTGCCCGGGACACCAAGGGGTTCACCCACCGCCGAGCTACAGGCCACATCTTCTAGGGAAGGGAGAGATATAAAACCTTTCCTTGCTGCTGGGTTTTACCTGCCAGTATTGGCTAATTAATCTTTAATTAGCATTAAAGGCATCTTTAACAAGGGGATAGAGGAAGCATTTATTAGATTAGGTCATAATTTTGGAGTTGTTGGTTGTATTTTTTTACTGGAGATGAGATGGTTCGGGAAGGACGGTGAATTGCTGAATGGCTTCAAGGCAGATGGAGGCAGCGCAGCATCCTCCCACGTGGGTGATACCCAGTGAAGACAGAAGGAACTGCAAGTTTTAAACACACACTTACTGGTTAAGGCTCTGCTTACTCACTTGTGTTGGTTTTTTTTGTTTTGTTTTTTTCAGAGGAAATATTTCTGAATTGGAGAAACAGAAATCCTTCCAACCTGGTACAGATTTATTATTTTTTCTTAATGAAGTGAGTGTATAAGAAAAAGAAAAATGTTTCGAAAGCTACTTGAAGTTACTAGCAGCAACTGTGTACTCAGAGACAACCTGAAGGATTTCCAACAGTGTCCAAAGCTGCAAGGACCAGACTTGCTATTGTTTCACTTCTCATGCTGCAATTTAAAAATTGAAAGAATAGCTCAGAAATAGGAAACTTTCTCAGACCTGTAAAACTTATTCAGTACTAGATATAATTTAAAAAAATCTTAAGTATACTTACAATTTGACATATCACATTTTTTGCTTATAAGTACCCAAAATAGAATTAAGTATAAAAAGAACATGTGGAGTGTTTTACTGGAGACGGTACAAAATACAAACACCTCACTTTTTAAATAAATCCTGAAACTAAGATTTTTTTTAAAAAATGTATTCAGTTACAAAGTCTCACACTAATATTCTGTATCTACTACAGGATTGAGATGAATGAAAAAAATTTTAATACTTTCAAAGGAAGATTGAAAAGCAACCACAATGAAATGTTTGCAACAGATAAAGTATTTCTGTAGTACTAGCTGAAAAATTTATCCAAGACTCCATCCACATCTTTTGATCCGATGCACATTGAGTAAATAGATACATATTTCAGCTCAGTGGCCTCAGTGTTGCCTCACACATTTTATATTTCTCTAGGATTTTATTATTCTGGTTTTAGTACCTGAATGTTTTAAGTAAATCCCTATCCCCTAGCTAATTTGGGGATGAATTCTATTTATATTTTTTTCTAAAGCAATTATTAATTTGCATATTGGCCTGGTAAGAACAGCATGTCACTTTGTGGTAAAAGGTATACAAGTTTACAACTTGAGGCTGACCACTGTTTTTCACATCTAGTGCATAATTTTAATTCCTTTTTTTTTTCCCCAGGTGGAATTTAGATCCTCACATTTTCCAGGAGGAGGAATTGAACGCACAGTGACAAAGCACACATATCTTTTGCACTTTGTGCATAGAACTGAGAGGTCTGAAGCTCCGCCTGGCTCCAGCTCCAGCCCCACATTGTCCCATGCTGCAGGCAGCTGCCCCAGAGCCCCAAGCAAAGCTCCCAGCAAACGCAACTGCCCTCAGCTTGCAGGTGTTAACGGACAGGTGCCTCCAAAATTCAAGCTGGGAGTTCAGAGTGGAGCAGCTGATATAATCTGGAAGCAGCAGAGACCTCTCCAGCCATTCGTGTAATTCTCAGTTGGGTGATTATTTCATATTATACCACAGCCGAGGGGTCCAGCTGGCAGCCTCCCTCCAGGCTGCCACAGAGCTCATCACCACCCACTGTGACCTCCCTGGAAACACTCAACAGCTGCCAGGGCAGAGGGTGGAGCCCAAAATCAAACATTTTCTCAGCTAAGCACTTGGGCTGGCATGCTCCTGTCTCAGCAGGACCTCTGTGAGGTATTCCTGTGCCAGAAGAGCTGGACCACCCCAGAACACCAACAGCAAGGAAGGACACCTCCGCTTGCCCTACGAGGCACTCTGCCCATGCAGATGTAACTGAAGAGCTGAGCAATCTGGCTGCGTAAGTCTCATTTATTTAACTTTCCCCATTTCTATCAAAAGCTGAACTGTCGGACTGAACAACTGGCTTCTAATTTATGTTGCATGTGCTCGCAGATGGCTCAGCTGTGGCACAAGGGTCAAAGGCAGCTGCTGGGTATTTTTCTCCTGTGTTTCCAACGCTTAGAATCAACGCATGGCATCCTTGGGACAGCTGTAGATTGGGAGCCTGGCCCTGCCGCTGTGTTCAGGCTCCTTGCCACTGAATGGGACACTGCACGTGCCAAGGGGTGCAGCTGCCCTGCAGGTGCAGGGGGAGAACCTCCGCAGGTTTCACAACTGGTGCAGTGATGAAGTGGTGTTAAGGGAGTGCCACAGCCCCAGGAAATCCTCCCGAGCCTTGAGTCATGGTTACACATGCACAATAAAAAGCCTTCATCTAATGCTGATTAAGTCTTGAGACTCTTGTTGAAAAGCAGGGCTGGTAGCATCCTCAAGTGCTCATCTAATCCATCTTCCTATCCCAAAGCACGATCAATGCTCCCCCGCATTATAAACACTTAAACAAAGCATTTCTGATCTGCTTTTAAAATAAGCCTCCAGTGATTAAGATTCCTTAATTGTCAGGCCATGACCTCTAGTGCCTTACAATGGCTTTCTTATTAAATCATTCTCTCTCTGGTGTCTACCCAGCTATGTTCTGATGCCTTTCAGGACTATGACTTCTTTCCTCTTCCTCAGCAAACTCTTGCTCTTTCCAGGTTCAAAGACTGCACCCTTACCTTCTTGTGGTGTTTGGTGTTCCTTTTTTCTTGTTCTGGGTTGGGTTTTTTTGATTATTTTTTTTTTTTAATAAGCAGTAGCTGTATCTGCAGTCATCCTTGCAGTACTACACCTGCTCTGGGTTTCACACCAGTTACCTCTGAGGTCATTCATTTTGCAGTGAAAGAAACAAGATGAAGGTCACAAAGGGCTGTGGCACTTTACCAACACCAGTGTCACTCTGAGCTTGCAGCTTAGAAATCAGAGCTACGCCCTAAGCATGATCAGATACAGATCTCATGATCCTATTGCTTGAAGGGAGGACATGAAGCAATAGAAACAATCTCTCTTCCTGCACATGAGCAAAATCAATTTCCACTGTGAAGTAACAGCTCCTGGGGACAGGCACACCATGCTAAATCATTACCATAATCTTTTGCAACTCTAATTGCAAACAGATGTAGCTACAAATTGTCATGAGAACACCGCTGCTATTTGTCTGGGCATTGCCCAGTACAAAGGGGGAATTTCAGGGATACTAAGTGCTGCCACTATTTCTAGATTTTGATTTTCCCCCATCCACGGGAAATTTTCAGATTTTTGGCTTTAGTACAAAACAACTTTTAAAAGCTGGGGTGTTTAAGGCTGCTGTGATGGTGGCATGGAAATAAAAGAGGGGCTCTGTGAACTCTTTTGGAAGATGATATTTGAGGTGGAATTGGAAAGGACAATCTAGCTTCAAAATGATCACATCCCACAGTGGTTCTGTGAATAAATTTGGGCATTTTCAGACCTAGAAAGGTCTTACTATAAAGCCATTGTTTTTAAAGTTATCACTTTACTATCCATAAAGCTATTATCTACTTTCATTTGGTTAGCTCTATTTATAACATAAGGATAAACATCATTCACTGATTAACATATCAAATCCTTGCTGAAGACATTAAGGAGAAATTTAACTGTTCACTTCTGTTTAAAGAAAATGCTGAAACTGAGAACTCCTGGCACGAGTCTGGAATCATCTTCACAAACTCAGTAAACATCAGACATGCTATGAATGGGAAAAAAATTACATGTCCCCAACCCTGAAGTGTGGAGAAAACAAAACAAGGGAGCAAAAGCCAATGATCTAGTAAATGTAAAGAGTGTGTGATCACTGTACTTGCACCACCAAAGAGAGGACTCCAGGCAAAAGCACAATCCAGGCAAAAAGAAGAAAACCAGGCTTCTTGATCAGTTAAATTCTAAATGGTAATGGCCAATCAAACCTTGACGGGGACATCTCCTGGTGAAGGTGCTATCTGGAGGGCAGTTACAGGTCTGTATCACATATAGAAAAAGAACCGATGAAGAAAAAAGTTTGGGAGTTGCTTTATGAAAAATAGGTGAAGTTTACAAGTGCAAGGTTACTAAAATGCCACTAAAAATGAGCATGCTGGCTGGCAGGTCACAAGCGCCCATCCAACAGGAAGAGTGAAGCAGAAAGCTGCAGAAGTACAGTAAGAATTCCAAAGTGTTTTAGTAGTGCAAATAAATAGAAGGGAAATCTTCTTCCATGCAGGTAACTTCAGGTGAACTGGAGTTTGCTGGGCCTCTACACCTCAAAAGTCAGTGAATTGACCTCCTTTGCGAGCTCTTCCTCCAAGGCATTCTATAGCAGGAGAGAAAACCAGGACTCAGAAATACCAACCTCAGCAGTCTCATCTGAAAATGTACAAAATACTCTCAAATACTTTGCGCTTTATCTATGAGCAAGCAGACAGCAGCCCGAACAAATAAAGACAGGTTTTACGCTCACACGTGGCCCGGGTCACTCAGGAAAGCTACGTATGAACTTCCCAAACAGCTTTATATGAATATTTCCCAACAACCATACCTGCAGATTACACCATTAAATGGGCATTATGTTTTAAAGGGGAAGGTCCCCATCGCAGTCTACAGGGCAGCTGTTAAATAAAACATGGGCCCTTAAGCCATCAGAGTTCAGGAGCAGCAAGGAAGACTGTGAGACCAAGAAGCTGCGATGCAGCTGAGTGAATAAACATTATGACAGGTGAAGCAGACAAAATCCAGAGGGATATGGATACCTAATCCCACTGATACCATTATGCCCAACTGCCTTTGTAGCTTAGGTATCATTCTTCCACCAGCTCCTCCTACCAATATGCACAGCTTCTGGCTTACCAGGGCAAAATTTCCCTCGAGAGATCATTAAGGCTACAATCTGAGGTAGATAAATCCACAACCAAATAATACATATAGCTTGTTTTGGAACGACTGCACTCATTTACATCTCTGAAATATATTAAAAAACCCAACTTACCAGTTCTCTTTTTACTTCTTCAATCTTCACTTGTGCAAGGGAAAGATTCTAATGAGAGAAAATGCCACAAAAATCAGTATTTCAGCTGGAAACACAGAGTCCCTGCATCATTGAAAGGAATTCAGGGATAATTAAATCAGTTTTGCGTACACCCTTCACATGCAAAAAGTACAGACATTAAAAGGTTAGTAACAGTTTGGTTTGGGCAGTCAGCATTTTTTTCAAAAGGCTGGTATGACCTAAAGTCTAAAAAAAAAAAATAAAAAAAAAATCCCATTTTTAGCAGTTTCCCAAACCTACCAATTGAGGAACTGTATTTTGAACATATCCATGTACAAATTTTCCAAAGCACAATAAGCTTGTGAGTATAAACCTTCCTTCCTCCTTCTGCCTGGACCAGAAGCGAGGCATCGGAGGTCTCCCCGTCTCCACCGACAGCAAAATGGGAGGGAGGAGGGGATTGGAGAACCTAATCCAATTTGAACACCCTGTTTTGCTTGAGGAAGGGAGGCAGCTGCCTCTCTGAGTAAGACAGATCTAAAAAAGAAGCAATCCCACCCTCTCCCTTCATTCTTTTCTTCTAAGAAGAGACGGCAGTAGCTGTACACACGACATACGTTGAGAGGCAGGGATGCAACGGAGGGGCTATGGAGGTGAAGAGGGAAGCGTGGCCCAGCACACAGGACGCTGGTTCATAATGCAAGAGCCATGATTCATCACAGTGTTTTGATGTTATTTTGGACAAATCTCTTTCTCTGGACCTCTGTGCCCCATTTATAAAGAACTGGAATAAATCTTTTTTACCTCTTAGACAGAGATGTCTGAGGTTAGGTCTGTTAAAGGCTGTGGGGTGCTCAGATGAGGACCTAACAGAGGCTGTATCAGGTAACTCAAATACAAAACTATAAACTAGACAGTCACAGTTGTACTGAATAAAACCAAAACCCATTCAACTATTCACACTCCAGTTTTTGCTACTTCTCCCTTGAGTGACAAAGAGAAAAGTCCTTGACACTCATCTGTAAAAGCAATGGCAATCTTCTAAAGGAGACTGGAAATATTTGGGTTTAGTAATCCCAAATATCACAGGTGGGGATGTACAGGCGTCACACAAAGCCAAGGCTGCCTGTTTCATGGACTAAAGCCTTGTTTACCCATGATTTCTTTAAACCACTATAAAGTTGTTCACAAAATCACCCTTATCTGAAACAGTCTTTTGTAATTCTGATTTTAGAGTAAAATCCTTTTTATAAAAGACACTTCCCACAGCAGTCTGATAGTAACTTCTAGCACAGTAAGCAGTAGTGACAATAGCCAAAATATAAAATGAAAGATAGATACACATGACATGGGCTTTCAAAACCACAACTTAGTCACCTAAATGAGAAACCTGTGTTTCCAGAGAGAGCTCAGTACCCAGCACCCTCAAGAGAAATCAAGAAAAAGATGGAGCAGCCAGTACTCACACAAGCTATAGTACTTTTTTTGGGGGACAACACCTACATTCGGCTGTTTCTTCCTAATTGTTAAAATCTTGCTCAGAGCTCCAACCTCTGGACAATGCGCTCTGTCCACCATATCAACAGCCTGATGGCAGCTGATATATAGCTAATATATTGGTAAATATAAAAAAAGTTATACTAAGCTGATTCTTCCTCTCTACTCTGCTCTCATGAGTCCGCCCCCACCCCGAGTGTCCAGCTCTGGGGTCCCCAGGACAAGAAAGACATGGAGCTGTTGGAGCGAGTCCAGAGGAGGCCACAAAGATGATCAGAGGGCCGGGGCACCTCTTCTGTGAGGACAGGCTGAGAGAGTTGGGGTTGTTCAGCCTGGAGAAGAGAAGGCTCCAGGGAGATCTTATAGCACCTTCCAGTACTTGAAAGGGCTACAGAAAAGCTGGACAGGGACTGTTTATCAGGGAGTGTAGTGACAGGACAAGGGGTAATGGGTTCAAGCTGAAGGAGGGTCAATTTAGATTAGATATTAGGAAGAAATTCTTCCCTGTGAGGGTGGTGAGGCACCGGCACAGGTTGCCCAGAGAAGCTGTGGCTGCCCCTGGATCCCTGGAAGTGTTCAAGGCCAGGTTGGATGGGGCTTTCGGCAACCTGGGCTAGTGGAGGGTGTCCCTGCCCGTGGTAGGAGGTTGGAACTAGATGGGCTTTAAGGTCCCTTCCAACCCAAACCATTCTATGATTCCACATTTCTTTGTCTAATTCTTGCTAATTCACCTTGATACTGAGCTCACCCAGCAAATCTGTGTGTTTTGTTAGAACAAAGTTTGCCTGGTAAGCATACTCAATTTCTTGCCTTTGATTAATAAATAGATAGCCTTCTGTTTAAGTAAAGTTTTCTGTTTACACCGTTAACAGACCTGTAGGACATCTACCGGTCCATTGAAACCATCACAACAATATCCTTTTCATTCTGAAGTCCATTAAAATTAATCTGATGGCAAATACAATAGAACAGTGGAAAAAATAATTACAGGAGGTAAATCTAGGTAGAATTCCAGTTTCTTCTTCAAAAGCACAATTTCTTCCTGCTGTTCAGCCAGTTTCTGTGAAGAAAGCAAGGGAGATTATGTTCTATAGTGTTACTTGAAGTAGTGTATATCAGTGAAATAGATCCACAATTATCTACGGCATTTCAGAACTCAGACATTGGTGAGAGCCTTCATGATCCTTCTTAAAACACATCGAAGATCTGCTATGCAGTTATCAGTCAAACCCAGTCAAAATTTTACAGTGGTATAATTTTTATTCATTCTGGAGACATCTGAAGATGTCTCCTCTTATTGTATAACTGCCTGATCTCGTCTCCCTGAAAGGAAAGAGGATTTCAAATGAGAATCCACCAGACAGAGGACTTCATTATAGGCCAGAGAGAGAACTGAGCCCCAAGGAAGGGGAGACATTCTCATGCCTACAGCTTCTGTGTGAAAACAATTTTGGACATGCAGCAGCAAAGAGATTCCCCTTACGCTTGCACTGCTGTGCTTATTTTGTTAACAAGGGGAAATAGTTTCTCTTTGGGGATGAAAGTTGAGCCACTTCCACAGTCCTCAACTCTTTTCAAATAATCAAAGAAAAAAAAAAAAAGTACTCCAAAGATGAAGTCATTTGCACTGCCCAATTCACTGAGCTCTTGACAAAGCAGATAAGAGAAATGTCAGGAAGTCAAACCTGCCTTTATTCTCAGATTGTAGAAAATGTCTGGAAAGTTGCCTATGACTTTTTGTATATAATGTTCCAACAGAAATGATTTTTGGTTAGTACTCTCCTCAAACACTGTGCAATGTAAACATTGCCACCCAGCGCTGGCTCAGGAGAACGACAACATAAAAATCAGGAAACCTACTTTCATTGTTCAACCCAACTGATACGCAGGAAAAGCTAGCAAAAGAAATGGGGAGATAAACTAAGTTCTCATTAGAGTAACAGCAAATAAAACTGAAGAGTGGTGAGCGCAGACAGACCACAAATACATGTTACCAAGTACAAATGCTTCAGCACAAAGCTGGAGAATCTATAGCTAGTTAACTCAAGAAATGTACTTTTTCCTTTAATAAATCATCCTGCTGAGCTTATAATACAGCAAAAAAATGTTATATTTAAAGACACAAGAAAAAAAAAAACACACAGTGGTTCAAAATTTGGGCTTCCCTCTATGTCCTCCCCTTGCTCAGAAGTGCTTGAAAGCATGTTTATTTCACACAAACTAGAAGAAATCACCTGAGTCATTCTATCTAGTAATTGCAAGCCACAGGCAGCCATATAGCAGGATATAGCCCACAGAACAGCCACTCTGTTTACAACACGGATTGCAAAAAGGAGGCAAATCACAGGCTGCCAATTTTCTTTCAGTGGCAGGGAATTTATTCCACAGAAGTTCTCTAGTGTGATATTCCTAATCACAGAGGCAGAAAGAGACGAGAGGGAAAAACAAAAGGTAGCAAAAATAAAGATTCAAATTGTTCCCCTCAATCAGTCCAAAAGGAAAGCTTTTTCCCCCTAGTCCAACACAAGCCCACATTCAACTCTGATTAAAAGGTACCACTTGAGCACCCACAGGTGCTTCTCAGTTTCTAGGAGAGAGAAACCCATCCAACTTACCCCAGTTCAGAGGTATCCATCTACATGATTTTTACTGGTGTTTCTTTTTACCATGAAAGTTTGTTCAGGTAACCAAATAGCAAACTACATTTCCTGAAACCATCCAACAAGCAAGCGTGGTCTGTACCACTGTCGAAACACCCATCTTGTACCAAAAGACCCACCTCAGACAGGCTCACGAGCGACTCATGTGTCAGCAACTGGTCCAATGCCACGGCAGCAAGCTGGTCCTACAAACAGGAAAGAGCTCGTTCACAACTGACAACAAAAATATAAAACGGAGAGGAGAAAGATTTTACCATTTCCTTGAGTTTTGATCTAAATAGGCAAACAACAATGCAGTTTGTCAACAACAGGAACGTGTGCTATTTGAACCACAGCTACAGCTGGTATACAAAAGCAGTTGCTAGTAAAGTTTACATCAAGAATAACAAGTCTTTCCAGAAAACTACTGGGAGACGAGCACATGGCAAGGCTGGGAAGAGGCTTCTCAGTAAAATGTTATCAACTCTAATACAACATTTCCCATCTCATTTTTGTCAAGGTATCGGACAGTATCCAAGCGTGCATTCACACGTCCTTCATCACGTAGGAAAGGTGAACGACAAGACAGTACAACTTCTGCCTTCTGTGTTAAATCATTCATTAATTAAAAAAAAGGCTATATTCAGAATTTTGACACACAATTTACCTCAGTGAATCAGCCGCTCTACTGGGAGTTGTCTGTATACTCTTACATGACAATACCTCACAATAAGCACAATGTACTCTGAGCTAATACAGTTCTCGGTGAAAGAAGAGAAAACATCCTTGCTTTTATCATAGGATGTCCTGGGGAGAGACCACAAATATAGCAGGAACAACGGGAGTGCAGTAACACGTTGTCCTGTTAGCCCAAGAGTCCTCAGTCCTGGAATTTAGGAAGCTCCATGGATATCTCTCTATCTACAATGTTGGGCCCTACCAACCGTGACTGAGCCATCCTGCCACAACATCTTGTTAGAAAATTGCTTCCATTTACCTCAGCAGCCTTGATCCTGTTTTTGAAATCCTCAGATTTATTTTTCAGGAACTCCAAGTTCTTGGATCGGTTGTCAGCTTTAGCATTCTCTATTTCCAGAAATACCTCTGTTTTTTTAAGATCCCTTAAAAAAAAAAAACGAAACAAACTTTTACATTCAAAGAGATACCAGTATACAAATACTGCTTAATTATCTACGCTCAAGCTAAACACTGTAATACAACCAACACCAGAAGGGAGAGATGGGAGAAAAAGTTGCATTTCCCTGTGAGATTTCTCAGTGGAAACGCCCACAGCTGTTACATCCAGACTCGCAAAGAGCAGGAAAAAATGAAACCAAACACCAAGGGGAAAGCCATCCAGGTAAAAGCAAAGAGTAATAGGCTTCTACATAATTCCCTAATTCTGCCAGAGACCTGTTACACAAGCTAAACTTAAGATCACAGAGAGGGGCCACGGCAAACCTGCATAAAGCATGTAGCAAAGATACCAGACCTGCAAGCAGCACCATGATTACTACTTTAAGACAAAAACCAGAAAATAATTAGACTGGAATGGGGCTGTGGGAATCATCTGGGCCAATCCCCACTCAAGGCAGGGGGGATTGCTGCTATGCTGTCAAAGCACTTCAGACTACATCCTCTAGGGAATGGACTTGATGCCCATTAAGTCTCCCACACAGTGGTTAAAGAAAATTCTTACCTGGGAAGAATTTTTGTTTTGCCCGACTCCTTCATTCCAACTACAGAGCCCACACTAAATGTAGTAAGAAAATCAGGTTTACCTTCAACCTCAAAGGCAAATGGTGGAAGATGCCAGCCCCTATCCGAAAACTGCTTGTAGATCATTTTTGATTTAACATAATGGGCTTGATAGTACCCCAAATCTCTTTTGATTACTGAATGTGTACATTGCACACAGCTTTTGATAGATATTTCCAAATATTGTGAATCAGAAATGTGTCAAAGCCCTGAAAATTCAGTTATCCTTGTTATCATAACCAATGTTCCACATTGCAGAGATCAGCAGTATTGCTTATATCTTTCCCTTTTCTCACGCATTACTCACGCCGCTAACTTTTTTTCCAGCATCAGCACTGCAGTTAGTTTTTCCTTAATCTTGCTTGATTCCAGTTTAATTTCTCTGTTTTCTGATTCTGCTGCATACAGCTCCGAAGTCAGATCATCGATGGCACAGAAGAAGCTGGTAAAAAGAAATTCAGTGGGAATGCTCAGGAGTCAGCTTGTCTGAAACGCAGAATTACTATTATTATTTTCTCCACTTTCCACAAGTGACTTTTTTTTTGTTCTTGTATTATGATACATCAGATAACTGCTAGTTGTTTTAGAGAAGGAAAGTAACATAACCCACTGAGGGTATTTGCTTCCCTTAACTAACAAACATTTCACCTGGAAGGGGAAACGGCCCAGCAACCTCAGTAGGAGGAACTGAGCAAGACCTGCCACTCTAGCGAATATAACCACTGGGTTTGACATGATCAGATGCTCCACTCCTGCCTTGCCTAATTGCCTGTGAAAGAAATTGTATTCAGTCCCCGAAAACACACATCCCTGAGACAGGCCCAGCAGTATTTCAGTCTCTTCCTCTTCCCAAATGGTTCAAAGCTGCTTGCCCCCCCCAGGCTCATGAAAAGAGCTGGAAGAGCCAAGCTCATGAATATCATACAAAAATTGGATTCCAAGGGAGATTTTGGTCCTTCCTTACTGCCAGTGCTCAGCACAAATCTGCAGTGCTATGATTCAAGGCCCGGCTAGGGAGATGGGCCCAAGAAGACCAGACTATCAGCTGCCATTTCTCTGCAGCTAAGCTAAGGAAATCTCCTTACACTAACTGAGGCCAGGTAAGAGAGGGAAGAAAGAGGAGCTGAAAATGAAAGACCAGTTACAGTTCCCCAGCCCTCACCCAACCATTATGAAAGCTGCTCTAGTTGCACTACCTGGCACAAGTCTAGTGGCAGCACCCTGCAGCCACTGACAACAACAAAGAAAAAAAAAAAAGGGGATTAAATTGCGGCCAAGACCCCTCTCAGGCTTCAGAGACTTCCTTTGCTGGGATAATCAAGAGTTAGAGCTTTGTGCTCAGTTCCTGTGTCCTCCAAAGGTGCCAAAGTGGTGCAAAAGAAGCTGGACAAGTAAGATTCCTGGTGTGAAAATCAAGTTTGAAACTGTTGAATTGAAAAAACAGAGGGAAACAGCACAGACCACCACTCCTGACTCACAGTAGGAATAATTACCTGGCAAGAGAAGTGTCCTTTATTTCAAGTGTCATTGCGGTGTCTACTAGGACATTGAAGTGTCCGAAGCCTTCCTTGGACAGGCTGGATTCGGAGAGATCCAGGCTTTCTGTGAGAAGGCCTGCTAGATAGTTAGCTGGAAAACAAATACAACCCAAAATAGTAGCTTTTTTTAATATTACTGTCCTTTTAAGGCCTAGATAGGACTCACTTTTTTAACATGTGTGTTAAAATGTATTATGGTCCCCTGAACCACTCACTTGCTCAAAAAAAAAAAAAACCCCAAACAAAAAACAAACCACCCCACATTATCAAACACTTACTTTAGACAGCTCAGGCACAACTTAAATCACCTCACTGTTGTTTCAGATTCCTCAAGCATTTTCCTTAACAGTGGATTAGCATCAGCTCAGACTCTTAAATCAGCTGTAGGGGTGCCCCCCTGTCTATCCAGCCAATAGTTCAATGCTGTGCTGCTCAGGCCAGCAGGCTAGGAGGTTTTAGCAATTAATCTGCTTGTCCGTATTCATGGCCTACTCAAGATGGCTTAAAAAATTGCCCTTGACCAACCTTATGTCAGCGTACATTTTGTTGAAAGGAAGGCACAGGATGCATCATAGTAAAAGCTGTACCAGAACAAAAACTGAGTTCATTCTAATTATAGATAAGATTTTAACAAAGACAATCTTCAGGGTCACTAAGAAAAACTAACTTGGATAGAACTAAGTAGAGCTTCAAACTCACCTTCTGCCTCATATTCTGCTTCCTTCTGTTTCATGTACTCTATCAGCAAAGAAACATCCCTGTCTCTGGCTTCATTGAATTCTGCAAGGTCATGCAAGATATCAACAGTCCTTGCATTCACTTCAAACTGTGGAATAGGCTCATTACCATATATTTTCTTTAACCATAAAGTAACCTGCCAATGAAGGGGGAAGAAAGTAAACAGTCAAGTGAAACAACAGGAAATAGCTGATAGATGTGAGAAATTTGAAATGCTGAAAGCTCTACTGTAGTGGGTTGACCCAGGCTGGAGGCCAGG